CAAAATTCGGATTTTGCAAGGGCAACCACTATTCACGTGAATAGTAGCTGCCCTAGCTCCCCCCCTTGCCATGGCTAAGGGCAAATGGGTGGAGTTGCTCTTAGGGAGGTGTACCTGTTGAAAATTTGAATGACTAGGAACTGGGTTTGGTGAAGGATTTCTTTTAAGACGGGAGGAAAGGTTGGTGGAGTGGGGGACGGTGGACATGCCAGTTGAATTTTTGAAGTTACGTGTTGCATTACACAATAATTCACTCACCTTGAATTTGATGTTTGTAGCAGACTGCATTTTTATTACATATAGCATTCTCTATGTTTAGTTTGTCTAATTTGTATGATTTTTAATTAGATTAAGCATCTGAAAAAGAAAAAGAAAAATGTTGCACTGGGTGCAGTAGCTGATGAGGTATCGAATATCAGTAGAAGTTCTAGGAAAATCCTCTTGGAGGTCCACGTTAAATTTATCCTGATATTTCATTATATTGCAAATAGATATCAAGGATTTCTCCAATCCAAGACATCAACAACATGGGGAGCTGACGAAAACAACCAAAATTTCTTCTTATAGTTATTTTGAGTTGGTGTCTCATGCCATGCCTTCATTCTATGTTAGTTATTCTCTTCCAGCTACAATTTGCATTGTTGACTTCGTGTTAACCAGATGTATTAACTATTGTGATTTTAGATGGTGCTATGATTATGCTGATACTGGTTGTATTGATATCAAATACCCAGCACAAATTTCAACAAAGCTTGTATATTATGGCATGCTAAAAGGTGATTACCTTCATGTCATCCAAGGTGGTAGCATGTTCCGGTCTTTTGTCATGCACAGGGCTCATTTGGGTTATTAACTATAACTATTGCAGTGGATTACTGCTCTTCTTATAGAAGTTTTGAAAATTGGAGCAATTTGATGGGTTGATGGACCGCTTGCATCTTGAGGCAGAATGAGGGCTTGGAACCTGGATGCTTTTCTTTTATGCTATGGACTTCCAGAGCTTGTAAAGATTTTTTTTTTGGAAAAGAATTCTGAAGTGGAGAACGTTACACTGACAGATTTTGTGATGGGAAGTGTTAAAAGGATGGTAATGATAAATTGTTTGTGCGTACACAAGAATGAGGCCTTGTACAGGAGTCATTGTATGGCCCCTAGATGATGAGGTTGGTGAAAGAAAATTGGAGTAGATAGAGTTTGTTCAGAGAATAATAGAGGTATTGAGGATGACGTTGGCAAAGTCTAAAATGACACAATACCGATAGAAGGATTATACGGATAGTTGGTCCAAGGATGTTGAATCTGTAGTTGGTGAGTGGGTATGCTTGGAATTATCTCCTTAGAAGGTGTGATAAGGTTCGGGAAACCAGGGAAGTTAAGTCCCCGTCATGTCAAGTCGTTGAGGATGCTACTTGGGAACTCGAGGAGCAGATGCGGGCCCAATACCCATACCTCTTCGAATGATAGGTACGAAATTTCGAGGATGAAATTTTCTTTAAGGGGGGTAGGTTGTGACTAGGGCTGGGCATCTAAAGCCGAAATACCGAAACCGTACACTAACCATACCATACCAAACTGGTTTCATACCGTTTCAATTGGGATGAGGAGATATTCGGTACAATACCGTACCGTATCAAGGGAGTATGGTACGATAACAGTACCAGGTATTTGGTACCGGTTAGTACTGTGCCATACCGAATAGTTAGAGGGTCGTTCATATTAAATACTTGAAATTATGAAATTATATCCCCACTTATGAAATTATGTATAAAATTAAACATAACCAATTTCAACTAAATTTCTTTATTAGATGTCAACAATTTTAACTAAGGCATAATAAGATCAACACATGCAAGCATTAGTTTCCTCTCTGTCGACTTCTTTTTTGGATTGTGCACAGATCACCATCATCAAAACCACATTTGTTTCAAAGATAAATATACCTCAAAAATAACCAACTATATCAAACTTGCAACATATCGAATTTTCTTGCAAACATGAAAATGGGGCCTAAAAAGAGTTCTTTTTGTTTTTCCTTTATCCCCTTGCATTTCCCCCTTAGGTTTCATAATAAAAAAGAAGACAATTTTAGAACTCAAAGATAATCAACTCTCTGTTGAATGATATTGAATTTGTTGAATCTATTATAAGGCATCACTTATTAGGTGAATAAATCTGTTGAATATTGAATTGGTTGATTTTTGAGTTGTGTAATTTTGGTACCGAAATGGTACCGTTTCACACCGATACCGATTTGGTACCGTATGGTGTGGTACCAACTTTGGCAAACGATAATCTCATATCGTACCATACCGGTTCTAATTTTCAGTATCGGTAGCAGTACGAGTTCAATACCATACCTTACCATACCATGCCCAGCCCTAGTTGTGACATCCCGACCCAATTTTAACCATTTATTCAATTTATTTTTCGATCACTTTTTAATCCAGAAAGATTTTGGGGAAATGAGTAGCACTGTTGAGTAGAGCTCGCTCTCATGAGTTCGTAGACATGTAGTGGGCCCAAATCGGAGTTTTAACGACGAAGTTGTGGTCAATGAAAATGCAGTGGCACAATCATAAATATTTTGAAGTTGGATTTTTAAAACAAACCTGTCTCTCTCTCTCTCTCTCTCTCTCTCTCCCTGACTCTCTCTCTCTCTGCACTCAGGCATCAATTTTCCGACGGCGATTTCATCACCGTCTGATGTTCAATTCTAGTGAAATTGGTTGCAAAAGTTTAGTATCGATGTTCTCTATCTAACCCATCCATTTTCACAACTCAAAAACCCAAGGAAATTGAACAGGAACGACTGGAAGTTCGGGTGATTTTCGAAGTTTCTGAACCTATCAAACTCGAATATCACCTAATATGTGAAGTTTCATTCGATAGTCAAACAATAACCTATTGCTAATCCGAGCATACCATCGTGCTCGTGACGACATGAAAATTATTTTGGAACCTTAAGAGCCTCCATAAAGGATCCCAAGCGCTGCCAGCGCGTGGGTGTCTTGAGTAATTTCTGGCAATCAGAAAACTTCAAAATCACCCGCCAATACCTATACCAACAGAACCACCACAACTGGAGGAGTCACTTTTGGTCTTGGACCTAGACCAAAAAGTGGTCGGAGCTAACCAGATCAAACCCAAATTGTGAGTCTTAAATGGGTGTTTGGAACGATCTCTAAAACCTCAAAATCAATCCTAGAAACTTATACTAATAGCTAGAGCACTTTAAGGGGATGAAAAACCATAACTGGATCGACGAATACAGCCGCTAGAATTGTCGAGAACGGCGTCGAAAACTTTAAAAATCACCCAAACTTCCACTCATTCCAGTTTAATTTCCTTGGGTTTTTGAGCTGGGAAAATGAGTGGGTTAGATAGAGGACATCAATACGAAATTTTCGCATATGATTTCGCTTGAATCAGACATTGGACGACAGCGAAATCGTCGTCGAAAATTTGCTACCGTGTGCGTAGAGAGAGACAGAGTCGCATGGAGAGAGAGAGAGAGAGAGAGAGAGAGAGAGAGAGAGAGAGAGAGAGAGAGAGAGAGAGAGAGAGAGAGAGAGAGAGACTTGTTTGTTTTAAAAATCCAACTTTGAAAAATTTATAGTTGTGTCACTGCACTTCCGTTGACCACAACTTCTTCGTTAAAATTCCGATTTGAGCCCAATACTCATCTACGAACTCGTGAGAGCGAGCTCTATGCAATGGTGCCACTCACCTTCACCTTGTTAACTTAACTTAATTTGCTGAAAATGACCCACTAGGTATAGTGGTTTGGATTAATTGCTCTCCCTAGATAAGATCCTGGATTTGAGTCCTAGCATCTGTGTAGTTTGTGAGTTTAGTATATTATCGCCTCTCTGAATAGTATGGGCTCGTTTGGTACGTCGGATTGTACCGACTAATTTTTGTTGGATAATATTAATCTATTCCAGAGAGTACTAACTATTTATCCATAATATTATAAGGTGTTTGGTGTTGTTCTAGATAAATAGTCTGATTAAGTTATACTGTGTTTGGTGCTGTTCCGGATAGCATCAGATCACACTATTTTTTTTTTACAAAAAATTCTTTGATAACTTAGTGGAAATTGAAATTCAAATTACACAAAAAAAAATTTGGGAAGATTCATATGACAAGATTTGTTTTTCAGTTGTTTTTGCCAAGAATTTTTTTTTTTTTTCATATAACCCTTTATCATAATTGTAGTATCTCATATATAAAGTAAAAAAACGCAAGAAAAACTCAGTAGCATGTATTGAGTTGGATACACAGCCGCATGTATTGTTCCCATACAGCAAGAAAAAAAGGTCAAAAAGGAAAAACTCATAACCTAATTTTCACAAAAATTAAATAAAATAGGAAATATATAAAGAAAGAGAAGATGAAGAAAGAAGAAGAAAGAAGAAGCATATTGGGGGGAGAGAGAGAGAGAGAGAGAGAGAGAGAGAGAGAGAGATGGATACCTAGAGAACAGTGAAGAGAATAACCTTGGAGAAGATAGCGGAGAAGAACCCTATAGAGAAGAAGATGAAAATAGCGTCGTCGGATTTTTCACGTGAACGTATGTGCAGCGGCGGATCTAGGAATTTTCCTGAGAAGAGGCAACATTTAAAAGGCTAAAAGCCAAAAAAAATTCCCAAATTATTCGAAAGAGGATTTAGGGTATGGTTATACAAACATAACCAAATCAGAAAACAAAAATAATCTCTCTAAAATAAACAACAATATTAAAATACATATTATAAAAAAAAAAAAAAACAGAAGTAAAAAAAAAACCAGAAGAGAAAAAATGAAAAAAAAAACATTCAAACTTAGGAGGAGAGGGATGGATCTGCAGCAAGACACTCAAGAGCATGCAAAGCTTTTGAAAAATCATTCAACGCAAGTATCCCTTGGTCCATTTAATTCCAACTTGGACCACAAGAACACACTCTTACGTTCAGTGAACGACTTCGTTTGGCCAAGAATTAAAAAACAAAACAAAAGCTGCTCCCAGCGCAGCATCGCAACAAAGAAAAGGAGGTTGCTGGGTTGCTGAGGCATTTATTCGAACATGTGGTGGGCACCTCTAAGGTAGAGCTGAGGGGCAAACTTCGGCAACTTCAAAGCTTTTTCCGGCGAGGGGAGGTGCAGCTGTACCTCCTTGCGCCTCTATGGATCCGCCAGTGCGTATGTGTATAGTGTGTGTATTAGAGCCCAATCTGTTTAAAATAGTTAGGTAATTAAATAATACAAACTGACACCAAACACCTGACATAGACTATTTACTCATATCCAAAGTCTAATACCATATACCAAACTAGCCCTTAAGGTACTAAAAAAAACCTTAATTTGCTTTTTTCTGGATATATATCCAGCTTGTAAAGTTGCAACATCGAAATTTTTGCAAATGGTAGAAGTTGCAGTTCCTACCCGAGTTCATATCACGCCCTTTCTTTCTGTAAGCCCATATCTTCCCATTTGTCGCAAAATAGTGGTGACAAAAGTAGCAAGGAAGATTTCTGGAGTTGTGGCATCTTCTTCTTCAACTTTTTCTACTTCTTCTGGTTTTGGGTATAAACAAAAGGTTGATGATGGGCAAGTCCTGTTGCCAAAGAAGACAAGCAAAAAAAGGGTGTTCTTTTTAGACGTTAATCCTCTTTGTTATGAAGGAAGCAAACCCAGCTTACAATCTTTTGCTCATTGGGTCTCCTTATTTTTCAATCAAGTTAGCCTCTCTGACCCTGTTATTGCTGTAAGTCCATCCTCTTTCCCACCCCACCATGTGTTCACTGAAATGTTTCACTGAGTTTTTTCCTTTTCCTTGATTATGAAATGAGTACTAGCTTTACCTCACTCCAATAGACTGCATTTTGTTTTAATTTTATATATTTGACTCCCATAAGCTGAATATGCTCTCTCTCTCTCTCTCTCTCTCTCTCTCAGTCCTAATAAGCGGAACTCAAAGGTTCCATCAGTATTTTTATGGCACCAATTACTCTGCCAGATTACTTTTGTGGTAGGAAATCTGAATTGGCTAAAACTCTACAGATGCTTCAGTAGTACATGGGCCACTTTTCGTGATGCTTTACAGGGAAAGTTTTTAATGTCCTATTGAAGTATTCACAACAAGCATTTTGTCGTCAAATTTTAGATAGTTATCTAAGTATATTCGCTTTATAAGCCACTTATGCAGAAGAAGCAGAACATACTGCCCTATTGTTTATAGGATAATAGGTGGCCGTGCCATTGTTTTACTCTACAGAGCTTAAGAATGATAAACACCAACAAAAGCATATTCTTTTCTATGCACGAATTCACCTATTTGCATGAAGGAAATAGTGATAAGCATTGGACCCAAGGCTCCCAACAAAGATAATCTTTTATTTCATTCAAATCCTGGCCCTAATCACTGAAACATTTAAGTCCTGATTATAAACAGCATAGCCTTAGGCATTGCTTCATTAACATAGGTCTCTTGCATCTTAATTGCCTTGGTAGTCATGATTTTCAGTTGTTGATGGCTGAGATTCCAGGCAGTTGATCATCTTAACTGTCATTAAATCACAATTTATGCTGTACATGGTGGTTGAACTCAGTAATGGTAATATATTTGCTTCTCTTATTTCCATAATGTGCATTTGCAGGTTGTTGATGGGGAAAGAGGAAGTGAGCACCGCAGACAGTTATTACCTTCATATAAAGCACATAGGTGGAAGTTCTTGAGACAGTTTTCAAAGGGGCATGTTGGAAGGTCACATGGAGTCATCACAAATGTTCTTAGAAAATGCAATGTGCCAGTGAGTTAACCTCTATTTTGGTAATGTGAAGTGTGTAATGAATCTTATCTAATTACAGAGGTGAAAGCATTCATCAAAACTGACTTCTTTTTTATTTATTAATTCGATAAGTACTAATTATGGGCTAAAATAATGAAACCATTGTCAATTAGCAAATCTAAGAAACTATTGAATATAAACCTAAAACCTTGGACCAAAGTTGGCTCTTAAAAAACTTATCAAATATTAGAAATTATAAAGGTATATATGCAAAGGTTACAAATATCAATTGATGATTAACACTACACCTTGCATGGATAAATCATGTTTTTTTCTGAAGTTATCTATTTGTTTGTGAAAACTATTTGATAAACTGTTCAGGTTGAAGCCCTGTAGTTTTGGTTTTCATTTTTCTTTTCCAGGAGATCTGGGAAGGAGTAGAAACTTTAAAACAGCTATATTATGTGAAAATAACAATGAGCCTTTGATAGTACGGGAGATCTGTTTCTTTCCTATTTATCAGCTTCATGTCGCTGCTTCTGTTTTTGTACTGATATCTTAGGACAGAATATGGAATGAATACTTTCCTATATAAATATGACGTACTTTGGATCTAGCTTTTTGATAAAAAATTTAGTAAACAGTTTGTTCTTTATTTTATATCATTTTGACACATCGTTTCAGATGCCCTTCCAGATACTCGCTCGCATGTTAGATTTTCTCCCAATAAAAGGGCTGTAGATGATAAATTCAAATGGTTGTTTTTTTTTTTTTTTTCCGTTAATAGAACATAAATTGATGCAGGTCATAAAAATAGAAGGCCATGAAGCTGACGATGTTATAGCCACACTTGTGGGGCAAGTTCTACAATCAGGATATCGGGTGGTAATTGCGTCTCCTGATAAAGATTTTAAGCAATTGCTTTCAGAAGATGTTCAACTTGTCATTCCCCTGGAAGAGTTGGAACGCTGGTCCTTTTACACCCTTAAGCACTACATGGCTCAGTATAATTGTGATCCGTGCTGTGATTTGAGCCTTAGTAAGTATGAAAAACAATGTGGTGGTATTTATAAGTCAGTTAATTGTGTTAGTGCTACATGTCTTTAATTAACATATATATTCAAATGGAAATTGTATTCAGTTTCGTTTCATGAGCCGGTATATGTTGATGCATCTTGGCCTCGAAAGTTTCTTCATAAATGCTATATGGTGTGACTGGGCCTGCTATATAAGACATCTTGATCTGTATACTCTGTAGTTTTTATGGCTGAATATGTCATCAATTTCACTGGGATGTCATAGAGTGAGCACTGAGATTGTCAGATAATTTTACTGAAAGGATGAAAATTTGTACAGTAATTGCACATCTATGTTTTGAAGAGCAGATGAATCACATATGCACTTAAAGAACACACAATGAGTATCAGATATATGTTTCACCGGTGGGTTTACTAGGCTGCATTTTGGTATGATAAACCAAGCGAGCCCCTCTTTATTTAATATGAGTTCGCCGCCATAACGTGTTTTGCATTTCTGTTCACTTAATGTCTAGGGTGCATTGTTGGTGATCAGGCTGATGGTGTTCCTGGGATCCAACATCTGGCTCCCGGTTTTGGTCAGAAGACTGCCCTAAAGCTCATAAAAAAGCATGGTTCATTGGAAAATCTACTAAAGACAGCTGCAGTCAGAACTGTGGGCAGACAGTATGCTCAAGATGCTCTTACAAAACATGCTGATTACCTAAGGAGGAACTACGAGATTCTTTCCCTTAGGAGGTAATTTATGTGCTCTCATGTTATTAATTTTATTTTGATGTTACTTTTCCAGGGATAATGCTGTTATTCAGTCATCTTATTACCTTGCTCTATCGTGATCCTTAGTTCTTGATATTTATGGGTCACACTGTTCTGCAGGGATGTCGATGTTCGACTTAGAGAGGAGTGGTTGGTTAAGAGAGACACAAGCAACGATTCAAGAACGTTGTCTAACTTCTTTAAATTCTTGGAAGAAACCCAAAAGTTCAGTCATTATAATGTATCTGTCTCAAATGGCTAAGGTAATCTTTTAGCTGTCTATATGACAAATAAGTTATATGATTTTCGGTTTTTGTTATCATTTTTTTTGGGCTGGTTCAATTGTACTTTTTGAGACCGTTCCTACATTTTTGGTCTTCATTTTAAATTAAAGGCATAGGTCTTTTAATTTTGGGAGATTTACTATTATACCAAATATAGGAGCCCAAATTATAAAAAAAAACTCTATATGAAATGAACTTTAGAAAAACACCCAAAACTCATTTACAACATAACAAAAAGGCTTTTAATTTTTTTTTTAATTACAAAACTGTCATTGATTTCTTAAAACAAACCAAACCCTAAAACCTCATAAAAAAAAGCCTAAAACACTCAATAGGGTATCAAAGTAATTTAATAATCAAAATTAAATTCAATAAGGCCAGTTGTCATATTTGAGGTTTTCTTTTTGGGTTTGTTTATAGAAATTAAATATTGTAGGGTTTATTTATAGTTTTTTAGTGCTAAAAATGGGTATATAACTAGATATCTCTTTAAAATATTAGAGTATAGCCGCGTAGCTATATGTTTTAAATATTCGTATATATTTAAAGAGTACAGCCGAGCGGCTATACGCTTAATTGCCGCTCGCTATCCTTTTAAAGTATATTAATATTTAAAGAGTTAACAGCATTGTAAAGTAGATTTTAATTAATTTTAATAAATATAATTGCAAAAATTTATTAAAAAATAATATGTAATTCACCGTCACAATTTTACGATCATACGGTACCTATTTATGAACGATTGTGATAGAATTTTAAAAAAGAAAAAACAAAGTCCACAAAGTTATTTAAAATAATTAATTACTATTTATTAAGTATTTTATGAAATTAGTCAAATATTTAAATACTAAATATTTACTAAAGAAATAATAATTAGAACATAATTACTAATTAAAGTAATTAAAAAAGGCTATAAGTAAAAACCATTTTGTGAAGTATAGCCGCGCATTTTAATTCTTGTATATTTAAAGAGCATAGCCACGTGGCTACTTATTGTTTTTTACACGAGGCATGACTCAGAACAGAAACAACAATTATACATCCATTTTCACAAACCATACACCATTAAAGCACAACGAAATACAAACCTCCTGTAATTATCTTATTTGATATGAGATCGTTTCTTATGCATCATTCAGTACAGTATACACTGATTGAGGATTTTGATCTCATCTCTATTAATAGAGCACTGGACTCTTTGCTTTGCTTTATTTTGACACTAGAACATTTTCCCGATACCATCGCTCCGGGGAACATATTCTTGGACATCCATCCGACGCCAATTTCCCAACGATGGAGCCATCTGCTCTACCTTGTCAAACAACCCAAGTAACCCACCTGTGTGTATGAAGAGGATCTTTCTTCCTTCCCACATCTTCGTATTCTCAGCCATGTCTTTCAGCATTCCATAAGTAGCTTTGCCACTAAATAAGGAATGACATCATAAATCAGGGATCCCATTATTCGGCAGAAGAGAGAGAGAGAGAGAGAGAGAGAGAGAGAGTTGCAGATCATACTTCAGGATTAACTACGAATAATTTAACCAATTATCCTCCTCAAGGGAAGTGATGGCACAAAGATGGAAACATAAACAAAGAGTTGTGGAAATAAAACAGAACCTGTAAACTGGATCCAGAACAATCCCAGTGGTCGCAGCAATCTCCGTGACAAACTTAAGCTCCTCAGACGTGTTTATTCCGTAGCCCAGACCTTTGGCCTGTCAAACCACAATACATTTACTTCCTTTTTTGGTGTTTACAATATATAATTACTCACAATTGGTCAGCATATACATTGTGTGTAAAACTATACGCACATCATCTCATAATGGTAACATATGAATAGTTGCAATTTACAACCCATGATTTTCCAATCTAGGATTTCATTTTTCTGTAGAGGATGCACATGTACAACTTGTATAGTGTAGGCAAACTTCTGTAAGATCAACCTTAAAAGAACATGTAGTACGAAGCAACATAAATCATGTGTTCAATGCTGACAATATAGTGTCTAATCTGCTTTGACCCTCGCATTTTGAATGTTCACAATATCACGTGAATCAACGCCTGCCTCAAGTCCATCAAGTAGGCCTTGAACATAGTCGTAGAAGTAATTAGGGTCATCACAGACAGATACGTTTGCCTTCAACTAACTCAGCCAAGAGCCCAATGCCAAAGCAGCAATTGTACCCCCACTGGAAATCGATTACATGAAAACATTACAGATGGAAGTAATAATAATAATATTCACGATCACCATAAACTTATTATATGATGTTACAGAATTATACTTATAAACAACATGTAAGATATAATTCCTTTTTAATTGTAGATTATAGAAAAGTTTGGTTTCGTGAAAAAAAAAATTTGCTAATACTCCAAGAGAGAGAGAGAGAGAGAGAGAGAGAGAGAGAGAGAGAGAGAGAGAGGGAGAGTGACTCTATCTCTGAATTCTTTATCAATATACGGACACAGAAATCAAAAAAATAAAAAAAT